ATTCCACATCAAAATTTATTATGTCTTCTAACAAATAGAATATAACAACTAAATTTGACCAAGTGTTATATGTTATATCTACCCATTTCTCACCACAACATCAAACTTCAATTCAAGAACTACCACCATGGAATTCCAAGAAGATATCAAGAATCTTATGAAGGTATCTCTTTTAGCATCAATTTCTCTTGGTTATTGCTACTTTGTGGGTAAAATCATCCCAAAAGGTTTTCCAAGACTCTTAACAATCCTTCCTGTCATTCTAGTTTTTCTTTCCATTCCACTCTTGTTTAATTCCGTTCATCTCATAGGGGCACTTTCTTTATGCATCTCTTGGATTGCTAATTTTAAACTCATCCTTTTCGCCTTTGAAACAGGACCCCTTTCCGCCCCTTCCATTCCCCTCTCCCGATTCCTTTCCCTCGCTTGTTTTCCCATCGAAAAGAGCATTCCAAGGAAAAACCTGACCCATAAATCCCCTTATAACTATGGAATTAAAGCTCTCCTTCTTGCGATTTTCCTTAAGGTCTATCATGATCATGGGGATCATATACACCCCATGATCGCTTGGTTCTTCTTTTCGTTCTCAGTCTACTTCTTTTTAGACCTCCTACTGACTATCAGTTCCATAATAACAGAATTCTTACTAGGGGTCAAACTTGACCCCCAGTTCGATGAGCCTTATCTGTCCACTTCCCTCCAAGATTTTTGGGGCAGGAGGTGGAATGTCATGGTCAACCGAATTCTCTATCCAACCATTTACAATCCAGTCCGAACACTGTCAGCTCGGGCCATCGGTCATATGTGGGCCCCAATACCCGCAATCTTGATAACATTCGCAGTCTCGGGCCTTATGCATGAACTTATTTTCTTTTACTTCACTCGAGAAAGGCCAACATGGGATACCATGCTTTTCTTTTGTCTACATGGAGTCTCGCTGGTTATGGAGACAACAATCAAGAAATTTGTTAATGTTAAATGGAGTTTACCCCGCCACATAACCGCCCCATTGGTGGTTTCATTCGTGTTGGTGACATCTTATTGGTTGTTCTTTCCTGAACTCCGACGATGTAAAATTGCTGAAAGAGCATTTGAAGATTACGAGGCTATAGCGAAGATGGTAACTTTTGTTGTATGATGTACAAATAGTTATAAAAGATATTTTGAGTTATGGCTTTTTTTTAATAAATTTGTACATGAAGCATTAGTGCTTTTGTGGCCACGGAAATTTTGCGGCATTCGGTATTTTCTAGAAAGTACAACTTGGAAACATTTAGAGCTATCGTCATAATGCTCCCTCGAGTTATTAATATTGTTAAGTTTTGAGCTCTTAAATTTGCAGGTAAACGTCAACGTTCATATAAATTTGTACTGGTCTTCTATATCTTTCTTAGAGCATTTATATTGTTTATTTTCGTAGAGTTTATTTATTTTGTCACGTTATAGTTTTACCAAGAGAATTTTACCTTTAGAAATTACTTTTAATGCATAAGTTTTTATTAAAGTTTTTTTTTTCAACAATCAAATACTTATATTCAATTTGCAACATTTTAAAAACTCTCCCTCTTAAGTTTTGTATTAAAACACAAATTATATAAATTGATATTATTATTATTACTATAATTTTAGTAGTTATAAAAATTAAAAACTATAAAAATATTTATATATGTTTTAATATGTATCAGATTAAATTAATTTGGTATATAAACTTCTCAATAATAATATTTTTAAAAGATTTTTAATCGTGCGTAATACATGGACATATGCATAGTATATGATTCGTAAGATAAAACTTTTATTTTGATTTATATTAATTTTATTTTTTGGAACTGTATTAATTTGATTAATACATTAACCTTCTTTATAATTTTATTTAACTAGTAAAAACGCTCGCACATTGCCGTGGATTTCTATGTGTTTGCTAAATCATAGACATTTTACAGAGTTTAAACTTTAAGATGTCAAAGCAACAAAATTTGGATTTTCTGAATGAAATACACTTATATGAATAACATCAGTACACAGACAAAAGACATCAAATTTGAGAAACCACAAGGAATCACATTAGTCGCAACATACATTGCATAATTCTTTACTAAAAAAGATTCTTAATATACCTAAAACATGTATAGTTTGACATAAATTATAGACATTCTTTGATTTACTTAGCTGTAATGTCCTGCTACACGATAAGCCGTCTCAGGTACATAGTCTAGGAGCAAATTTAGATAAAGTTCGTCTTTGCCTGTTGTTGAAAAGAAGCAATGTTTGAACATCTCAAAGGATTCATGTCATCATCATCCAAAGCATGACGACTTAGAAATGTTTTGAGTCAAATCGTGCATATGAAAATGTATATATGATTTAGCAATTAGGAGTGCCAATAAAAATAATGTTATTAGAATTTAAAAAGTCAAAATTAAATTACACAATCACCTTCTCAATCTGGCATTTCCACTTCTCCGGTATGCATATTACACAAAATCTGATTTGTACATTGTTTTCTTTCTTTGTACTAGGATCCAACATGTTTTGATAGTGGTTTTCAATGTGACGTGCCCTTACACCCACAAAAGCTCGCCAAAGCTACAGTAAATATGATGTCTCCTGAACAAATAGAACAATAACAACCTACTTTTTTTTTCTATGAAAGCATTGTAGTTGAAAAATAAATCTAATTAAAGAAGTCATCCAATTTACAAAGCATTTTCACTGCTCTAACTGAAAATGATATAATTTTTTTTAAATATTCTTTTTTGTTTTATAGGGCTCTAGGGCTATACGGACTTGAACAATAGACTTTTTCGGTAAAACATATCAAATATGATATTTTTACTATTTATTTAGAACATATACGAAGTTTTCTCTTATAATTTAATCAAAATAATAATAATTATAATAACAATTTTATCAAAGCAATAAATGAAGCCGCAAAAGATTCATGGCCTTAGTTTCGTTTACAATTGAAAATTTAATTTTCTACGATATGGGAAAGTATAATCATTATTTACTAACCACACGAATATTTGTGGTTAAAAATAATCATTTTTAATCAGATGAGATATTTTTGTGAGAGTACAAAACAAATATGGTGAATACTTTTGGGGGACAAACAACATCAGATTTTGATATTTTGTTTCTTTTTTATTTCCATCTTTTTCTATCATTTTATTTCCTTTGTCTTTATCACGGATTTGTTGACTTCATAATCGAAACCAGCTCGAAATATGCATAGCCTTATATATATATATATATATATATATATATATATATATATATATAT